CCTGGCAACAGCACTACTGTTTACCTGGATGCAAACGCTCCAGGTTCTCATTGCATTCATGCTTCAGCAGCTATGTCCCATCAGCCATGTCCAATCAGCAACCTTGCCTGCCCTGCATATTAAGTCATGTATTTTACAAGCAATCCAGTCATGGAAAAATACCACAGCAGAATGGGTAGCTGTGCTGAAGGGTAACATTTTCAAACCTGCTTAGCTCCTAAGTCACTCAGGGGCTTTCCAGAAATGTTACCTGGTGTTGCTATAGGAACCCAAATAGTTTACTTGTCTGACTTCTTTGCAACCTGAAGAGAACATTAACACTGGGATCTGCCCTTGATTTGTTGCTTTCTGAAGCGAGAGAAGAGGGAAAAGAGAGAAAAACAGCTGGGTAAGCAGAGGCAGAGATGCACAAATGGGTTTTGAATATAGCTTCCTACACACCTGAATTGCCACTGCTTTCTAGGCAGGCAAAAATCCCCCCCAGGGCAGGAAGGAGCCGGGGCGCAGGGGCCACGAGGCAACTGCGAAGGTGACGTGTTTCAAAAGCACCGACCTATGCAGGTTTGAAAACTAATGTGCAATTGCTCCTATAGCTTTGCTTTATCCCTCTGGACCTCCCTGAGTTCCAGCTGCACAGGACACAGAACTGCTCAGCCACTTCTCAATCAGGCATAACGCTACTGGGGTTGATGACCTCACACCCTTGTCTGATGACAATGCAACCAAGTACAGGCCAGTTCCCTAGATCAGTGGTCTCCAAAGTGGGGTGCACAAGATGATCCATTAGGGTGCGGGAAGAAAATATTAGAATTTCTATTTCTATTAATATACATATACTGGGGTTGCATGCTCAAAAATTTTTTACTGATAGAGGTGCACGATCAAAAACGTTTGGAGACCACTGCCTTAGATCAATGATTCTCAACTGGGTGCCTTGAGATCCTTTCAAGGGTCCTCCAGAGTGCCCCATGGGCCAGGTACAGACATTACACTTTTAAGTGATCAGAAACCAGTCTATACGTGTAACAGAACAAAAGTTCAGCACACAGTCAGGTTTAAAAATAGCAAAATCCCATCTTAGATTTGCCCCCTGCACCAAAAGGCAAATGCGGGTTCTGTTCATTACTGATCTAAACTACACCACTTACAGAAAACCGCTTAACTTAAATCACTTCCACCCCGTGCTGTGTGAATGTCTGTACCTAGCCACAACGTTAGCGCTGTTAGGTGTGCAAACACGACCATGAGATAAACCCAGAGATTTAAAATAGAAATCTACATATTAAAAACTATCTGACCTGTTGTGGTCTTCCTGAGTTTCTCCAACAGAAGAATTGCTCTATTATTTTTCTGTAGTCAAAAAACAAGTGAAAACTAAAAGCTGGCATTTTCCGAGGTGTCTTGTGTCTGAAACAGTTCAGAACCACTGCCCTAGATTAATTTACCCTTTTCGAAGGGCCCTGTGTTCCTGCCCTGATGCTTCTCCTCTCCTTAAATTGGGTCTCCAAGTATGTTGTCAGCCATAGCCCCATGAAGCTTGGTGTTGAGCTGATTCAAAGAACCTGTTCCTATAGTCCCTGTCTACGTAAAACACCAGTCATCTCTCGTGGGTGCCTGACAGTCGCAATCAAAGGGAAACCCCATGTCCTGGGCAGGCTGCTTTGCACAGTCCTGGGCCTGGCGCCTCCACGTCTGCAGGTGGTGGATGTGTGGGTGGCCAGATGCCCGTGACTTGAAGCATGCATTCCCCCCTCACCACTACACCCTATATGCCCCATGCTTTCCTGCTTCAGATCCCCTTCCCCAATACTCCTGATGCTGCCCTGTGCACCTCAGACCCCCCACCCACCACTGCTGCCCTCCGTGCCTGTCTCATACCCACCCACACCCCCTTAACATTGCTCCAGCTACCCCACTGACCAGGCTGCAGCACGATCCTTCCCTGCAGCCCCATGATCCTGCCCAACACCCTTGCTTCCCATCACGTGCCATCAGTAAACCTTTCCTCCCTCCTCCTGGTTTACACAACACCATCACTGAGGGGTAGTTGCTGTTTGAAGCTGGCATGCTGGGTTTTAATGAGCTGCCCAACATCCTGGGAGGGGAAGGAGGAGGGGTTGTGACCAATTACCTGATTCTTGACCGAACAGTAACAAAACCAGGATGGAAGAGCAGTACAAATGCCAGCGGGTGGTAGCCCCAGTAGAAATACTTTGAGGTCTCCCTCCCCTTTTACCTGAGGATGCTGGAGCACTCTGCGGCAGGAGTTAATTAGGGCTCCTGGCCCCTGCAGGGCAGCAGCTTTGTCAGCACTCCTCTGGAAACAAACACCAGGTAACATCCTACCCCGCTTTGCTGCTGGGAAAACTGGGCTAGGGCAGGCCTGGCTTTCACGGGTGCTGAACATAGCACAACTGAAGGCTGCGGCTGCTTCGGGGGCTTGGCACCTCTGTAAAGTGCTCTCCAAAGCCTAAACTCTGCAGAGGATTTAAGCACGAAAACAAGACTACAGACTAACAGAAGAGCTGGATCGAGCTGGGGAAGTCATAAATCAGCGATTGCAGTGCTTGGTCACTAGAGGGTGCCCCCTGAACTCCTTAGAGCAGAGGTTCCCAGACTCTTTCTTATTGCATACCCCCTTCCAGATTTACCAGCTGCCCGGGTGCCCCCACCAGCATATGTTTTATATATGTTAACCCCTTAAATGTCAATTATAATGAAAATTAAATCTGCCGTTACACAATTTCTCCCATGTACCCCCGTTGAGATGTCTTGTGTCCCCCCCAGGGGTACATGTACCATGGTTTGGAAACCTTTGCCTTAAGAGCCTTATTCTACAAAGCTTCATGCCTCATACTCCCTCATATGTGTGCAGACAAAGTTGCTTCAATAACGGTCTCTCTCGCTCCATATTCAGGCAAGAGGTAGCCCTTTCATACGGCTGTCTGTGTAGACACCCTCAGTAGCATGACGTGGCAAGGCAGGGTATTGGCCCCAATCTCCTGGTGTTCCCTCCACTACCAGGACCTCGCTCATAGGACCATGCTTCTTCTTCAAGGTCTCCTTGCCCTGCCAAGGCCTCTCATCACTTGGGTCTTTACTGCCTCTTAAAATGTGGAGGCCGGAAAGATCCATTACAACTTGTCTGCTACGGCCTGAGGATTTCCCAGTGATTCCTCCCCAAGCCCTGGCCTGCTAGTTACACTAGTGCTTGTGGCTTACACAGCTATCCCATCTTGATGCAACGAGTCCAAGAGCTGGAGCCTCCACCCCTGATCGTATGGTTAATTACCCACAGCATAACAATTTGCAGTTGAAGCTTGTCTCGCTTCCACCTCCTGGATCACACTTTATCGCTGCCTGCTGGATGACACAGCCCTCCCTTATCATCGGGCACAGTTTTGCCACCTCAGCACTGCCTAGCAGCTCTTTCAGGCTTCCTGGTGGCTTTGAAGCTTCCTGTCTGCAAGAGGTTCCTCCAGCTGGCCCCTATCCAGCTGCATCCTTCCAGGGTAGCCCTCTTCCCACAGCAGGGAGGCCAGATAACACACCAAGACTAACAGCTGGTCTTACCAGATGCAGGCAGCTCAACTTCTGCTACAGTCTTCATCCATCGCTGTCCCAGCAGTCACTGCCTCCACTCACCAGCACCACCCCCTCCCCAATCCCAAAGGCCTGGCTGCCTCCTTGTAGCCAGGCTTGCCTCTGCTGAGCTAACTGGGACTCTGAGACTGGCACTATCATGCCAAGAGACAGCGAGGCTCACAGAACCAGGGTCTCAGACCACTGAAGCTGTATCAAATCCAGGCTGCTTTATAGCGGGCCTGATTCTGCTGTCCTAAGGGTAGGTCTACATTGCTCCAGTGGTGTCAAAGTGCCACACCAAGACACACCAGGGCCACTCTGCAAACCTGCATCCTGCAGTGGAAGTGGCGTTGCCACCCTAGTGTGGCGCTCTGTGTCCTTAGCTGCACAGCCGAGAGGCCTCATGGAGTCTTGGTCATGGCACAGGCTCAGCATGGCATTCCTGGCACCATACCAGAGCAGTACAGACGTACCTTCAGAGACCAGCAGACACAGGGTTTAACCAGGGGTGGAAACCAGAGCCTTGAACCACAGCCAGGTGCATGGTCTGTCCTGCAGTGGTAGCAAGAGGGACCTCGAGCTCTCTGCCCCAGTGCGTGCCCAGAGCAGCAGCTGCAGGTCACCTTATGGACTCTGAAAAACTGATGCACACAATTAAACCCTGCACCACACCAGGCCTGTAGCCTGCTGGAGTTGGACGCTGATGACACCCTCCACCACTCCTCGTAGTGATGGGTGGATCAGGTCAGCATTTCTCAGCCCTGAGACAAAGGCAAAATCTTTTACCTTTAATCTCACAGGAAGACAGAAATGTCTGTCAGTGCCAAGCCTGTGATGGAGTCACCTGTATGTTTCAAGAGGGTGACAGAGAACACTTGACCTTGGAGACATGGGAAGAGGGCGCAAGAGATTTCCCTTGCTTCAGTGTATGTCTTCCATGCCACGCAATGCCCATCCTTGCCTTTCAGGACCTCCCGTAGGGAGCTGAACCCCGACAGCTGGGGAAGGGGGTAGAGCATCAGGACTCTGGGGATGTCATCCTGCCTCCTGCAGTGAAATCCGGGGGGGAGGTGACACGCTCTGTGCCTCAGCTTTCCTGTGTGTAATTTGGGGGTGATATCCCAAATTTGGGGGAAGGTTGCAAAACAGCAGCAGATAAAAGGAGCTGCCATATTATACCTTATTGCTGGATTCCATGGCACACGGACTCTTCACGCCTGACTCTACAGTACAGATATGAGAACGGGCGCCCCAGGACATGGCCACGGGGACATCAGCAGACCTCACTGGACAAGGCTCTTGGGGCAATCGTGGCATATGAGGGCTAGAACCAACTCAGAAGACGGGGTGGGGAGAGAGGAGCAGGGGCTGGTTGTGACTGTGTCAGCAGTGCTGAGAACAATCCAGGAGGTGGCTTGTGTACATGAGGACTTTATTGCAGGCTCCTCTGTCCTGTCCAGGTACAGATACCATGGCCGTTTCCATAGTCTTTCCTATTTCCTTCCACGTTTGCCATGGTGCAGAGGAGACTGAGGGGGGAGGGAGGGTGACATCTTACAGCAGCAGCAGCTTGCGCAGCTCCTGGGAGGAGGTGACAGGCAGAGAGCAGGCAAAGTTTTCACAGAGATATGCAGTGGCTTTTCCATCTTTCTTTTCCAAGGAGGAGAGGAAGGGCAAATGGCAGTACAGGAACCCAGTGCTGTCTCCGTCCGCCAGCATCAGCACCTGGGATACAGAGGGAGAGAGGGGGAGAAGGTCAGAGAAGCAGAGGCACAGAGAAAGCAGGGGTAGCTTTCAGAGCCTGCCTCATTGAGAACACCCCTGTGGTTGCATCTCCCTCCTATCTCCTGCAGCTACCGCAGAGACACCAGGTGCTCTAGGCCACCCACTGCTGCTGGAAAGATGCAACTCGTTGGGGGCCTTTCCTCTCCTTTTTCTGCATCCTCTACCCCTGGCATCTCCTTCCCAACATGGCTTCCTACCTCTTCATCTTCTTTTCCTCCAACCCTCCCAATGGGTACTTCTACTATAAGGCCCAGACACCCTGGATTGCCCCTCTTAGCAGTGAAAAGAGCTGCAGCCCTCCTGACCACAGCAAGTGCAGGTCATACGGCCTTCACTGGTCACGGTCCCCTGCTCACAAATGTTGTCATTGTGGGTTGCATCCTGGAAAGCACAAGGCCCCACATCACACCCAAACCAGGATCAAACTCTTGCTGCAGTGGAGCCGCGCAGGACAGAAGTCCAGCGACAGGCTCCCCGTCAAACAGGCTTCTTTGCACAAGCCCATCCTATTCCTTTTGTATCAGGAGCAGACACCCAGGCAGCCCTGCCCATCATGGTACCTGGTTACCCAGCAGCTGCGCCGCAGTTCTCAGCCCTGCTGGCAACACCCCAGCAGGCTGCTACCTTACTTCTCTTAAGGGCGCTCAGGCTGCATTCCTCACCTGCACACCAGACCAGCTTCCTGAGCACGAGTTCAGAGCTGTGGACCCAACCAACCCAGGAGATCACTCTGCCCCACTCAATCAGACAGCTGCAAAATTTTGAGAGGAGCCATTTCCTGACCACAGCTCAAGCCAAGAAACCAATGTCCTGAAAATGGCTTAAGAACCAGCTCCCTCTCTACAGACAGGGAGATCCTCCAGCCTTCCAGACAGAGGGACAAAGCAAGAGTGGACACGGCAACACTGAGGCTGTTAAGCAGCCTATCCACTTGCCACTGGTGGGTCATGGTTCACACAGCACCTGGGGAATCTCCAGGCCCCAACGCTGACCAAACGCATCCCCTCCTGCATGCTCCCCTGAAGCTTGTGTGCAGTCAGAAGCCCTGTGCTCTGGATGGGGTATGATGACAGGGGAGTCAAATGGGGCTCACTTTCCCAAGCCAGACTCCAGCAACACCAGTATGCTCTGCCCAGCCAGCACCCAGCTCCCAGCCTG